AACAACAGAAGAAAGCTTGTTTTAAAATACACAAAACTCCCCCCACACACCCTTTTTTTAACTTTTGTTATTTCATCATGGATTAAAAGACGACTTCACTGCAGGGGAAATGCAAACAGAAAAATAAAGAAGCTCTAGTGCCAGACTGCTCTGAACTGTCTCAGAAGGAACATACACCTCATTTTTTAGTGCCTGCTGTAAGGTTCTAAAAACAGGGAAATAATTCTGGTAAGAAAATACATGGAAGAACCCAACTACTGTTATTAATCTTAAATAAAGCTAAATCTTTCTTGTTTAAAAAAAAAACACCACAACAAACATTTCCTGAGTTTCACTAGTGTTGCTGCAGTTCTCATGCCCCAAACCCAACTCCATTAAGCAGATAAATTAGAAAAATAAAAAAGGAATTTAAACAACAGATCTTGCCATAAGGCCCCCTGGCTTTTGCTAGTTGTTTGAGGGACATTTCATTTTTCAACTTGTGTAAGTGGACTTAAGAAGGGGCACAGGGAACAGGAAAAGCTCAGAGCATACCACATATGCAGAATTAAGTTTCACAACTAAATAGCATTGTACATTTCAATATAAAATCACAACCTAACCTACATCAATATATTAAATTTCTGAAACATAAATTGTGCATAGTCCAAATAACGTATGAAAGTGCTGTCCTGTATTTATTCACGAGATTCAATAGATTTCAAAGACAGAAGCAGAATGCTAAATCTATTCTGAAAGTAAAAATATATTTTTATTTACATCGTGCCTATGCAGTATATCAGCAGAGTGCACATCTGATAAAACATGCTGCTTTTCTGGATGACTGAATATAAAATACAGACACGATTTACTGGCTGAACACAGATGGAATATGACATCTATATGATGTTACAACAATTACATGGATGTTATCAGAGAAGGTAAAATATACAGGATTCTGGGCTTTGTTTGGGAAGGCAGTTCATACGATTACAAGAAATCTAACATTTAATAATTTTAAAATATTCCTTCAAATTATTATATCAAGATAAATGAACTATTCCATCAAAACCTTTCTGTTCAAAAAGCACAGGAAAGCATCTGGAAGAGACCTGCTATGTCATTCAGTTCACCTTGGAAAGTAACAGAAAGACACAGATTAATTTCAGAACCAGTTAACCCCTGACTTAGAACCTGGGGTAAACAGCTAAAGAGAAATACATTACTGGTGGGGTGTGTGGCAACATACAGCAGGTATGTTTCAGCAGATGGATACAGACAGCTGTATAGTTAAGAAGGTATTAGACAAAGCCCACTAAAGACCGTACTTGGTGACACTCAGATACTTCACATTTGCTGAACTTAGAAATTTGGCAACTGGATAAGTATAACCATCTACTACTTTTCTTAAAATGCCATGGAATTACTTGCTGTTGCTGTGATGGCTAATAAAACAGGAAACTGCTGACAAGTACACAGTCTTTCTACAGCAATATTAAAGTGCAAGTCTGAGAAGTGGTTCAAGACTACGAAAGAAATCTTAGAAAATTTAAGGTGTAGCTTTACCATCCTTTTTTATACATACAATTTTAAAAAGATACCACAGTATGGAAAGCAAAAGTGTGTTGCTGGGAATAAAACAAGTCATAAGAGAGCCAATTCTGACCTAAATTAGTTTTAATACAGGAAAGATATTTATTGCCTTCATTCTTGTCAGTGGAAGAACCTTACTAGTAACATGCTCATAAACCAGATTACATAGTACACATTTCAGGGCTTAATACGTAACAACCATGGAAACTGATTCTGTTTCTTTCTCTTCTTGTAGCTAGTATAGTAAAAAAAACTTCACCATAATTATGCCAGCAGTGCAATTAATATCCTGGAAAAGAGATTATGTCCCTAAGACATGCCACGTGCTGAAAGACCATCCAAAATTTTCCCTATAAATCAGATGATGAAAACTGAGAATCAAAAGGAAGAGCAGACAGAGGTTAAAAAAAAGGCTGAATAAACTGAAGTACTTCAAAGTGAATAATCATAGGAAAACGTCTCCACAGGTTTGGCTTCACAACAAAGATTGGAGAATTCCAGTTTTTGTAGAACATAATTGAGAAATCTGGTAGCAACTGAAAAAGCAATTATGTTTGGAGTGAAAGAACACACACTTATACCATTGCGATTACTGTGATTCCTAGAGTATTTATGTGCCTACACAATAACCTCCAATTATACCACAGCCTAAATTATTTTATGTTTTCTAGTACATCATCATCAGTTGGTATCTATTTTAATAACACCCACAAAACAAAAATATGATGAAAAACAATGGTTTTATACCAATTCCATTTCATATGAGAAATATTGCTTTAAAATTTAAAATTTATTAGACAAAAAATATCATTTTTAAAAAACCTCCACTGTTTCAGCAACAAAAATGCTGTCATATTAAAAAAAAAAAAAGTTAAAATAGAAAATGACAAATAGCGAAACGGATTCTTGTCACTATTCAGTAAACTTAGATAACTAAGGTACACTGAGATGCTGATTAGTAATTTGCAGCCTGAGAAAACAAAGTGTCAGAGGGAAATACACGGAAGTATGACTGAGTTTAATATGCATCTACATTAGCTACAGGGTATAATTAAAACTACACCATTCTCTTAAATCTACATAATTACACCCCAAAGACACTTTCTCTTTAGTATCCTTAACTTTACTGATAAGCCAGTAAGAACCTTGGGTTTAAAAGGTCAGACAAACATTGTCTTAAAGTAAAATATATGCTTAAAAGTAAAAGGGTAAAAAAGTAAGGGTTTGGTTTGGGTTTATTCCTTATAGTGCTCAGGCCTCCAGGTGTGGCAGGCAAAACAAAATTCTAATTGACACTGAAAGAAAACAGTACCAAGTGATGCTGAAGATTACTCCCCTGCCAAAAAGTACAGGGAATTGATGAAGCATCTACCACTGGGGGAGGGTGGGTATATGTGGGAAGGGTGTGAACATGGCTAATTTTGGAAATACAAACTCCGTTAATTGACACTAGAAAGCATCATTAATTTTGGGGGTGGGAGAGCATCTCTTTACCAGTGAATATTCTACCTTTAAATTTAAATACCACCCAAGTTAACTAGTTGAATTCAATAGTACATTATGCACCACCTGCCCTATATTACTGTTCTTAGTCCAATTTTTTTAACTTCTGAATACAATTAAATCATGTGCATGTTATATATGCACATACACACACAAAACATATAAATTTATTATATATATGTTTATATAAAATTAAAAGTTAACAGTATCTTTCCAGTAATCACTACCCAGAATCATAGAATCATTTAGCTTGGGAAAGACGTTTAAGATCACTGAGTCCAACTGTAAACCTAACACTTGCCAAGTCCACCACTAAACCATGTCCCTAAGCACCATACTGCTTGGAATACAACCAAATGCAACCCCTGCGAGCATTCTTTCTCAGTCCTCTCACTTCCACAATCCATTACCCATTTCCTTCCCAATGCTTTGCTCAATAGGTATACAAGCAAATTGAAGAAATCAAACCATGCAGTCAATAATATGCCAGCAGTATTCATCCAAATCTTTCCAAATTCTCAAGTACTCCACAAAAGAGAAGAATGGTAGCAAGCATAGGACACAAAGGACGAATTCCCATCTATAATGCAGAACTTTTAATAAAAATAACACATGATTGCAAGAGTTTTGCATAGACTTAATACATATACTGTGATACATTTAATGTCAAAAATAACTCAATTTTAATGGCAAAGGAAGCTTATTTTCATTCAGCTGAACTCCATGGCCAGACAGAGGTTTTGCAAAAAGTTCCCAGTTTTCAGCCTCAGCTTCAACCATTCATATGGAATCAAATGGGGAAGAATAATGGCTATCTAAAATGTAAGTCCTCAGGATTTGAGTCCAACTCCTCACTGCTTCTTATTAGCAAATTACCATGGCCAAAGGAAAACAAAATCTTTTTCCAGCTACAACCAACAAGAAAGCAGTATTAATTCAGCTTCACTCAGATGCAAGCAACAACAGCAACCCATGCATTTATGGCTTCAAGTCATGCTTTTAATTCTAATGCCTAGTCGTTTGAATTTTCACTATAAAACACTCACTCAAAACACCTCTTCTGCATATTGTTTATTAAAATATAAAGTAACTTTTCAGGCAAGATCACACCAACTGATCAATCTCAGCAGCCATCTCTCTTCACATGAATATCACCTTCAACAATGAATATGTCCCATTTGAACAATGTACACGGTAAACTCCAGGCTTCATTTTATATGCAAAAATAACAAAAAAATAGAACATTAATGAAGCTGTATCAAAGGAGTAGAACTCCTGATGATTGATGCACTGTTATAAAGCTGATTTCTGGAAACTAACTTGACCTCAGACTATGGGCATTTTTAACTTGGTGTTCAGTGTATCACTGTTGCAAAGGCTGTTCAGCTTCTTTGCCATAGTGGAGCTGTGGCATCTTGGTTGAGTCATTTCACACTTTTGCACAAATACTTGGATTTCATAGACCTGGCTGTTCAGAGAAATGCCATAAAGGACTATACTAAAAAAACTAAAACCACTCAACAAAATGCAAACCAAACCACACAAAAGAAATAGGGAATAGTGATCTCTGAGAGTCCTTTTCTTAAGCCTTTTGGGTTGAAATTCAAATTAAAGATCACTTCAAGCCTCCGTGCCTAGGATGCACTTAGACTACTTACTGTCTTGAAGCCCTCATAAAAATTGCACATTACTGTTTTTTCTTCAAGCTTACATTAAACCTTTTCTTTAAATACAAATTGAATTGTAAGTTTAGGCAGCAAGATGAGCTTGTACATGAAAATGGATTTTTATGTTTCTTCTGACAATTATATCACTTTTAAAATGACTCCTATTAAATCCATTTCAAGAGCTAACTTTGTAGAATACAAAAAACATTTGGAAACGTACCATAAAAAATACTTTCTTTATGCTCAGTTATACCTTGTAAGTATTGCCATTCAACGTACAATAATGTTACGAATAGCATCATTTTGCCAGTACAGAATAAAAACGTTTCATGGAAAATCTTTAAAATTCACCTGTTCTATCTCACCACAACTACAGTATGAAACGATAATTTCCAAATAATGAAAGAGAAATACAGACAGTAAATGGTTCTACTGAAGCTAATTTTCACAGTTGCTGGTGGAAGGAAAAAATCTTATTTCATTTCATTAGAAGTTTAACAAAAATACAATTTAATCAAGAACTTGACTATCTAGTCCCATGATAATCAGTGAAAGCAAGGGCAACATGTTTAACTATATTAATGCGTTATTACCATGACAAACACTTCCACAGAATTCAGGGGCATAAGTGCTTACAGGTAATATATGCTGCTCTTCCATTACTGTTTTTTTAACATACATTCTAGAAGACAGCAAACATTTTCTTAAAGTTCTGTAGTAGCCTTTATGCATTGAGAATTCAATCTGGCCATCTATTTGCATTACAGTACTAGTGATGTACCATTAAAGACCAGATTTTAATCTGTATAGAGGAATTTCAATTATATTTATATCTTTATCTCTTAGTTGTTAAATATTGTGGCTTGCTGTTCAACATGTCTCTCTAAGCTGCAGATTTGGAAAGTTTAAAATAATTCAAGAATAAACACAGCAAATTACATTTAATTAGAGAATTATAATAAAAATATGACAGAATAAAGATGCTTTTCTGATTTATGAATCAAAATATGTTCCCCAAATAGCAGGCAACATTACCCAATATAAAGGGGGCAAGTAAAAAAGGAATCTAGCTGCAAATCGACCCCCAAAACTCAAACAAATGAGAATGTAAAATACCAAAATCAAATGTAGCTAAGTGACTGATAAAGAAAATATTCCTGGGGATTTAAGGAGGTAGAGGTTGCTTTAAGGAACCACCACATCATCCACGCGTTATAAATTGCCCTGGGGACAGTTGTGTGTGTTTAAAAGCACTGTCCTGCAGATTACCAAGTGCCTATTTCCATTTTTATTTAAACACACAGGGGTGAGGAGAGTGTGTTATAATTGTATAGACCTACAAAGCAGTATAGCATAAGCACTTCCGCTTTACATCTGTACATCAAATTTGCTTATTTTTTATGATCTTGTCTCCCTCTAGTGGCTGGTCCTCCCAAAAATGTATTTATACCTTTACGCAGAATCACAAAATAATTCAACCTGGAAAGGACCTCAGGAGGTCTCTAGTCCAAGCCTCCCCTCATGGAATTTGTGGTTGGCCCTGTTAGAAACATTCCCCACCAGCTGTTTGCAGTCAAGGTAAAGCCTCCCACCTGAATCCAGATTCAAGGACCTCCTAAGATCATCTGGAAAAGAAATGGAACAGCCAGGAAAATCAAACCCTGGAACTATCTCAGCAGAGACTGAAGTCCTTAACAGGAAGGAAGTTGTGTGCCAAAAATGCTTAGGGGACTTGAAGAAGACATACATACCATAATTCACTGCACCAGCAGTACTTGTTGCCCCATGTCTTGTATAAATAGCCATGTCCCACAGAACCTAAGCTGACAAAATACTGTCTACCAAACACTACAAAATACTTCACAGCACTCTGGAAAGCTAAGATCTCACAACATCAAACACAAAGTATCGCAATCCAAACAAAACTGTCATAAGATCTGGGAATTTTTGCTCTAACACATACACAGGCCAGGCAGATAGATGAGAGAAAAAGCCTGCTTGATTCTACCTAGCTTGTTCAAGGTAAAGAACGGGTCACAAAACTCCAAAAATCAGCATACATTTTTCATGCTCTCAAAAACACAGCACATGTATGTTACACTTTCCTCACTCACAGTACTCTCAGCAATATTAGAAAGGGTTAGGTCATTGACTAATACACCTAATAATACCTTCTATTGCACTGAACAGCATTTTCTCACTATTGTCTAGAAAATATTCTGTCTTTGCTCACCTTCAGTTTCTACTTTTATTACTAGACTGTAAATTTGCTCAGACAAGCACACTGCATACACAGCTGTCCAATTATTTTTTTTATTAACTAACAAAAAAGGCTAACCTTGCTTTTCAGATAGTACTGTTTGTGGTCACTGCTTGGTGAATTCATTTAGTCACATTCATATGTATTTCATAAAGGCCATTGGTTTCCTAGTGATTTAGTAGTAAAATAAGACTTTTCTAGTCCTCACCTATAAAAAGGCTCTTTGTGGCTTGCTTTGTATCCCCAGGCTTCAGGAGGATGACCAACAAAATGAATAAAATCATAGACATTACTATGCCTTGTGCCCAATTATCTACTTTTAAGAAGTATCTATTCTAATATGTAGCACAATATGCATGTTAATTACATCCTCACAGTCACATATTTAGATATTTTTCATTTAACTACCTTGTCTGCATCCACTTTTCCTCTGATAAATTCTTTCTTCCAGAATTCCAGTGCCTGTTCCAGAGTCAAGCCGATGCCTTTTAAGAACAGGCCGTATTGCATACGGCCCCCGTGACGGAGATGATGGTTATCACGTAGAGCTTTGTGCAACTGGCGCATGCACAGTGGGAATGATTTCACAGAAAGCTGTCAAGAGAGAAACTTGTATTTAAGGCATACTAATCGTTTTGTTTGTAGGACAGATATATGCTTATTGTGATTATTAACTGGCATCACTTGAACAAGCCAGTGGCTGGAAGAAAAGATACACATCTGCAGAGTGCCTTGGGACTAATGGTAACTAAGTGTGTCTGCAAGCCTTCACAGCCAATAACCACCTGCAGAACAAACTCCAAAGGACAGAGTAATACACATGGTAGTAACACACTAAAAAGTAAGATGGGTTTGTTTAATTGCTGTAAGGAAAAATACACCCACAGTTCCATTACAATGTTTCTTTCTTCTTTATTTTACTTTCTGGAATGGCAAGATGATCTTTCTTAGAGGTGACTTTTCTTAAGAGTAGTAGGGGGATCATGTGAGGGCATGGGGTTTTTTTTAAACATCTTGAAAAAACTACAGGCATAAGTAAAATCCACTGCAAATGACCTGCAGTTTTTTCCCTAGGAGAACACCATTTCTCGTAAAGCAAGATCTCAGATACAGAAAAATGTAACATTCAAGTTTACTCGGGCTTTGCATTTTTACTTTTAGCATCCGAGTCATGCCATGGAATTCATTACCAAAGGAACACTGTTAAGATGGACACTGAAAACACAAATTATCAAAGTTCAGATAAAGGAGTTGTAATGTGGTTTTAATTGTCTCTGCACCAATGATGTGATTTTACAATCCATTTCATTTACTTTGTTTTGAAAAACCCTTCAAATCAGAAGTCCAAAAAAGAGCACTGAAAAGGCTAATACTGCAATGCAATAATCATAAAATAATCATCATGGGTTGCAAAACTATTAAATAAGAAAATTTTGTTAAACTCTGCTTATAATTGTTATGTATTTGTGAAAGCACACAAAATTATGCAGCAAATTAGGCAATTCATTATAGCTCCAGCATAAAGCCTGATTAGATGCATTTTCAGTGAATTCTGCTCCATTTTAAACTTTATCACAATTTCATGCAAGTAGTACTCAAGAGTTACAAAGCAAATATGAACTAATAAAGATCAAAGCTTTATATGCTGTCTGTACAAAGAATACTCAAATTTTAAAAGTTACATATGAACATACAATATAACTCAATAAGCACAGAGGACTTACAGCATCAACCTGGTCTAGAGAAATTTTCCCTGTGTTCTTCTGCACACTGTAATCTGGGCCCACATAAGAATGGCTGAAAAATAAAACAAGCAATACAGCATCATGTGAAACTGTTTTGGTTTGTTTGGTTTTTTTAAGTTTACAAATTTGGAAAAAAATTATTTAACCAGTTACGGGCTGCAAATATTTTAGACCAGCATACTGGTCTAAAAATCAGCAAAGACTGGGTAAAAACAAATTTCTTCTTGCAAGAGGGATTTTGCAACTAGCTTACAAAGATCATTTCTTACATCTTCTGAAGGTTTATAGAGGTTAACTCCAGGAAAAAGGAATTTAGCTAAATGATGATACTTGGTACTACAGATTATTTTGTAACATTTCAATGCTGTATAGTGCAAAAAGCATAGAGCTAAGAGATGATTTTACTACAGTACAAACAGTTTAATTATATATGCATTCATTTGCCGTCTAGCCTTATTTCTGGCACACACTGGAGCACTAAGCAAGCTTACTATACTCTAATAGATATTTTTTTTCATTACACAACAATGGATAAATAATTAAAAGTATTTGCGCAATGTCTATTACTAAATTCCCTTGTAGAACCAGACCTGCATCACTCAGGCAAACTACAGACAAAAATCACAGTCCCTCAATATTACAATCAAAGTACAGAACAGAAAACAGCTGTTGCTTAGGCAAAGTATTTTTAAACAACCAATTATGAAAATGACCAGTCAGTTATCACACCCCAGGATGTGATACAAGCTGCTCTACCATAATCACTGTAGATCATCTGCTTGTATCCTACACTATTATGATAATCATACCAATACTGAAAAAATATTGCTATGCTAAAGAAGACTACTTCATTCTGGCATCTGCAGAAAGAATTGGCCCATGAAGAAGAGGTCCAAAGAGAAGACACAAAAGTTTTCCTACACCATAAGTGAACAAATTAAGACTTCAGAAATTACTGTTAATAAGAGGACATACTCTCTGAGTCTTGCTGACCATTATATCTGGAGTTGGTAGAAAACTTTACTGCAAGGACAGAAAATTAAATGTCAAGTTGGGGGAGAAGAAGAAATTCTTCTACTTTTCAGACTTTGAAAAGGTCAAATATACTCAGCATGGTAAGCAAACAGGAAAAGTTTTTCATGAAAGTTTCCTTACTTTTATATTGAATAGTAGTATATGACCTTTACAAGGTCAAGGTTTCTTTATACCTGACACCACCCACCAAAGAGCTGAACCCTACAAACTGCCTTTGAAGGTGATGCTCTGAAAAAAGAGTATGTTTTATCCCTTCAGAATATGTGGTAGGCTGGAGTGGGGCATAAGGAGGCCAGCACTGGTCACGAGGCCTTAGCAGCTAAGCTGTTGGATTCCTGTCCCAGGGAGCTCAAGGAACCAGCAAATGAAATCCATAAGGATAATCTTGTATCAAATATTTTACCACTTTTAGATAAAAATGTTCTCTTTTTTTTTTTTTTGTCTAGTACAATTAATATTAGAAAGTACCAATGAAACAGAATAGAACAAAAAGAGGACGTAAGTCACAGAAAAAACATGCACTTAGTCCCAAAGAGTCCAATTACAAAATATGTTACATCCATTTGAAAAAAAAAAAAAAAGCTGGATTAAAGAATCCACATGGACAAAACCCACAGTAAAATGACCTTTCCTGAGGACTAGCTATTTTATAAATCACAAGCAGACATGAATAACTTCTAAAAAATGTGTGGGGTATTAGCAACCAAACTACTCTGTAACCTTCAACTGCATGCTTTTTTCATACATTTCGATCAAAAGTTTTTGCTCCCCTGATAAAGCTCTATTGACTATGCAAAAAATAAATACTGCTGCAAGAATTCACACAACGTATATATATATATATATATATGTGAAAAACTAATATTTTCTTTTCTTATGAGCAAAATGAAGCAAAAGCAAATCACAGATCCTCAGAAATAAACACCAGAGCAGACCTATCTGGTCATCTGTCTCTTCACTGCCAGAGCTTGTTTTTCAAGTTGTAAGGTTTGATATATTTTGCCTATTTTAAAGGAACTTCCAAAAAAGGCAATTTGGAAACATTTGTATAGGTTTTTTTCAGTTGGTGACATACCCAAGTTCACCTAAGGATGTGCCAAAAATACCTTTTACATGAATGCAGTATCCCTGTTAAAGTAGCTGCTATTAAACCAGCTTTTGTTACAACCTTCCCTTTTCCCATATTAAAAAAAAGAGCACAAAGAGAACTGCGATTGCCTGACTGCTGTCCTGCTCACACAGAGGCACAGCATGCATCAAAAGAAATCTCAAGTTTCTCAGTAATTACTCCTAGGAAGAACGATTTATAACAAGCCAACCTAATTGCTCTTTAGCTTTAAACGGAGAAAGGTATGCCACTGAGGTATATTTTTTAAAATCCCAGTAGAATGCGTGGTAAGATGGAAGGTTATAGGCATCCAGAAGTATCACCCAACCAGCTATGTAACACACTACAATATTTTTGTTCTTTCATTGCTCTTGAACAAATTTCAATCATATTAAGCAGAGATAGAATCAAAGCTATTTTTGCTATTCTCTTATACACTAAAAGCAATAAAACACAAAGCTGTTCCTATGTAATATTTATTGTTTTTTTAACCAAAATAAAATATCCGGGTTTGGGTACAGAGCAGTAGAGCAGCATAGGAAATAGAGAGAATGCTAACTAGATCTGCATTCTAATTCCAGGGCAGTCCTGTCGTGATGGAGCCTCACTGTTTCAATTTCTAATTCATCCAACATCATTTCAGCAATCTTAACGGAAAGCTGTATATGTTTAAATAGAGTTTTCATTATTGACATGCAATATTTAAGCAAATTTATGCCCTTAGAGATATTAAAATTTCAACTTAATAAATACCTGAGCAATCTGATATAACTGAATCTGCATTGAGTAGCAGCTAGATTAAATGACCTCCAAAGGTTCACTCTAAGGTAAATTATTCAGTGATTCTAAGGCAATGCATCTCCTGGTAATCGTATGGACTTTGTCCTCCTGCATACTACCTCAGCAAGAAAACTCTCCCAAACAAATAAAGTGGTAAAAATTAATCACATACATAAGAAAGAGACCAGATCTATGCTTAACCCAAAGAAGATCAGAAAAGTATGTTTTATTACTCTTCAGCACCACATTCAAAGAAAGCAGAAAGCTTCTATATACTGTATAACTACTAAGAGAGAGGCAAACTATTTCAGCTGTGTTCTAGGGTGCCTTGACAGTTCACATGTTCATCTTTCCTTATGTCCATCAAAAGAACAAAATAGGACTCAATTTTTCAGTGAAAGTGAAATCTTTCAGAAAGACCATAGAGCATAAAATACATGCAAGATGGAAGGCCCATACTCTGAGCAGTGTAATTTGGAATCTGTTTTGTTTGTAAAGCTTAACAACTTTGCATCTACTATTTAAAACACTTTTATAAAAGCTACAAATGTTTTCCTGTTACTTAGAAGCAACACTAGCTCTGTAAATTATGGTTCATGTGATTTATAAAGCTTTTGCTAGGGTGAAGGGATACTGTCAGGGTGTTTTGGCACATACAAGGTGTGTGAAAAAAAAAAAAAAACAACAACCCAAACAACTCTGTAAGTAAAACAGTCTACTAACAGCATCACTTTCATCTGCATGAAAGAATATATTAGTGCTTCCAGTTTATGTTACCTGAGACGATTAAGCAGAGGTTGTAGTCGCTCATCAGACTGTATGGATGGCAGCGATCGTGCTGTCAGCTAAAAGAAAGCAGAAGTCCAATTTGTAAAATATTGGCTAAAAACACTTGACAGCACACAGCAGGAATGATGGAAGAAATCACCCTGTGCTGATAAGACTTTACACAACATCAGACGAGACATACTTTCTTCTATTAAAAATTACTAAGCACAAACATCCTGAATTGTAAGTTAGCAAAATATTTACAAGTTAACGAAGCCAAACAGTGAAAAATAATTTCTCAAAAATTACAATGTTATTTGAAAAAATAGCAAGACACCACTGAAAGATATACTTGTTTCCAAACATTTGAACTAGAAGTCATAGTGTACCTAAACAGCCTTCTAGAAATCACACTATGTGTACAGTCCATTAAGCTATATTAAATATATTTACATTTGTACAGAAATATTTGCATTTGTACACAAACATTTACATAATTCTTCCAGCTATATGGCTTCTATACAGACACACCTGTGTACACTAGTTTTTTTTCAATAGGCATAAATGTATTTTGTAATTTGACTGTTTTAAGTGTATTTTTCTTGTAACTCTTTCCTATGCCAAGTTAAAACATTAAACTTTTCTGAAAGAATAAACCTAGTAATCTAAAAGAAAAAATCAAGTATGTCACACTATTGCAGAACAATAGTTAAGTGGTGCATTAACTAAAATAATTAGAAAAAAAACAATTATTAAATTTTCTTACTATCAGTGTACAGGTATCTACCTACGCCTGTAAAAGGTACAAGCATTGCACTTTGGATATTGCTGACATATATCTAACATTTATCTAATATCTATCTAATATCTATATTATCTAATATCTATATTGCTGACATATATCTAATAATTCTATAACACGCATTTCATGATTCTACTGCTGCCAAGTTCAGCTGTATATTGAAAACTACCTTCATACAAATTTAAAATTTCAACATGTTTTACATTGTATCAATCACCACCAACTTCTTAAGTATGTACAGGTAACTTAAAACAGCATGCATAGTCATACATACACTCTTTAAGAATCTTATTTAAAAAAAAAAACAAAACAAAACACCATACTTATAGCACCATCAGCGTAGCTTCACCTTGCTGGCTCCAGCAAGTACACATATATGAAAAATTATGGTAGTCAGATGAAGTTCCCAGCATCTGGAAAAAGGGAAATATAACCCCCATTTTCAAGAAGGGGAAAATGGAATTACAGACCACTCAGTCTCACCTCTGTGCCTGGCAAAATCTTGGAGCAGATTCTCCTGCAAGGCATGCTAAGGCACATGAAAAACAGCAAGGTGCTTGGTGGCAGCCAGCATGGCTTCACTAAAGGGAAATCCTGCCTGACCAATTTTGTGGCCTTCTATGATGGGGCTACAGAACTGATGGACAGCGGTAGAGCAGTTGATGTCATCTACCTGGATTTGTGAAAGCGTTCGACACTGTCCCACACGACATCCTTGTCTCTAAATTGGAGACATCAATTTGATAGGTGGACCACTTGGTGGATAAAGAACTGGCTGGATGGCCGCACGCAAAGAGTTGCGGTCAATGGCCCAATGTCCAGCTGGAGACCAGTAACGAGTGGTGTCCCTCAGGGATCAGTGTTGGGACCAATCTTGTTCAACATCTTTGTCAGTGACATGGACAGTGGGACTGAGTGTGCCCTCAGCAAGTTTGCCGATGACACCAAGCTGTGTGGTTCGGTTGATACGTTGGAGGGAAGGAATGCCATCCAGAGGGACCTTGACACGCTTGTGAGGTGGGCTGATGCCAACCTGATGAAGTTTAACCATGCCAAGTGCAAGGTCCTACACCTGGGTTGGAGCAATCCCAGGCACAGCTACAGGTTGGGCAGAGAAGAGATTCAGAGCAGCCCTGCGGAGAAGGACTTGGGGGTGTTGGTCGATGAGAAAATTAACATGAGACAGCTTCAGTGTGCGCTCACAGCCCAGAAAGCCAACCATATCCTGGGCTGCAGCAAAAGGAGCGTGGCCATAAGGTCGAAGGAGGCGATCCTGCATCTCTGCTCTCGTGAGACCTCACTTGGAGTATTGTGTGCAGTTCTGGTGTCCTCAACGTAAAAAGGACATGGAACTGTTGGAACAAGTCCAGAGGAGGGCCACGAGGATGATCAGGGGATTGGAGCACCTCCCATATGAAGACAGGCTGAGAAAGTTGGGACTGTTCAGCCTGGAGAAGAGAGGGCTGCATGGAGACCTCATAGCAGCCTTCCAGTGTCTGAAAGGGGCCTACAAGGATGGTGCAGATGGACTCTTCATTAGGGACTGTAGTACTAGGACAAGGGGTAACAGGTTTAAACTTAAACAGGGGAAGTTTAGGTTAGATATAAGGAGGAAGTTCTTTACTGTGAGGGTGGTGAGGCACTGGAATGGGTTGCCCAAGGAATTTGTGAATGCTTCATCCCTGTTTGTGTTCAAGGCCAGGTTGGCCGGAGCCTTGGGCGAAATGGCCTAGGGTGAGGTGTCCCTGCCCATAGCAGGGGGGCTGGAACTAGGTGATCTTGGAGTCCTTTCCAACCCTAACCCTTCTATTATACTAATATGGACTAACTAGCAGGCTGCAATTTCTATTTATAATCTACAAATAAATATACCCCAGAAAAAAGCTGCACGTGTTGTGCTTGTGGTGCACAGGTTTATTTGTATGAAAATCTGAGCCAAACTCCATCAGTTCATAGGTAGACTGTGAATATGAAGGAGTTTAATATTTTGCTGAGAGCTCATCCATTTATCACATCCATTTCATAACCTTTGCTGCTAGGCAGATGTCAGACTGTGACCAAATTTTAAACTCACGCCTTGAGCTAGCAGTAGTAACCACCAGCTAAATGAATAAGAGGTTCAAAGCAGCTGGTTTGTCAAGTGGAAGTTGAAACTACTGAACACGAGGACAGCAGGGAAGGAGGAACAGGCCATTTCAGCTGTTAAGCCAGGTCTGGCCTGCAGCAATCACTGCTTCAAAGCACAGCACTTTTCAGTCCTGGGTTTTCAAGTGTACTCATCTGATCTGACTGCTGCATAAAGGGAAGTCAAGCAGTCTCAGCAATCCATTCACCTTTCTTTTAAAAAAGGCTGATATCTTGGCAATTAAAGCATTACCCACATTCCCTTATTTTATGGAGCTAGACCAAGATGCATATGGTATACTAAAACTTGAGTAAGCTCTGTAGTTAATAGCAAGTTTTTTTATTAAAAAAAAAAAACATGTTTTGATTAAAAAAAAAATAATAATTTTCTTACCACTGAGTATTAAGGGCCAATACATGTACTGTTCTATATTCCTGTCCTCCATAAAGTAACCCTCTAATTTTGGTTTAAATATAATCACAAAACCAGAAGCTCTTTCTGAAGAGAAGTTGGAGGGCCTCTAAATACCAGACAAGTTATTCCACTTGGCTAAAATCAGAATAGATCCTGGGTTACCTGAAATACCATTTACTTCTCTTTCTATTAAGAATCTAAATGATACATAATATTTGTGTGAACACTGACATCTATATTTTTACATGAGACAAGCATACAGTCCCTACACACACACACCTTTCAACTCCCACCACAAATAATTTGTTATGTTAGTTCAAACATTTATTTTGAGGATGTGGGATCCTCATGACACTGTTCAAGACAGTTTTTCTTAAACACAGTTGAGGAGAACTCATCAAAATATCTGAAAAATTTTAATCGAAAGAGCATATTTTCCTTTAATTTACCCAGATTATGAAAATAAAAGGTAAAATTTTGATGTATAAAGTCTTTCCTCACAACTGTATTTTTCTCTAAGACACACTGTAAATAAAACTGGATTTTACAAAGGTGGTGGTAAATTAACGCTAGAGTTTCCAAACATCTAAGAATTTTATGTCCTTTTTCAACAGTATTTTTTGAAAAGAAAAAGATAATCCCAATTACAGTGGTAATTCAAGTAATAATGAAGGCAAAAGGATGACAACTAATAGCTTGATGTCCAAGAACTGATCTGGTTTTCCTCCCTCATCCAAACATGAGACTAGGACATGAAATTCCAAATTATCAAGGATTTACTATCTTTGCTAGTCTTTTTTTTTTTTTTTAAGCTTTTTGTTTTAAGAATTAAGGTTTTTTTTAAGTTAAAGTTAACTTGACACAAAGCCTGAAGTAGTAGCTTCACATGCTATCAGGAAGGCAATGACATTTTTACACACAGCAATTAAGAACAAGATTACCATGACTCAATTAACATGTCTCCATTTTTTAGGTAGCAGGTGAGTTTCTTGTTTTTGAGCTTATCATGTGAGAGCTACCTGCTCCCTATGTGTTGTTGTGGGTTTTTTTGAGCAAAAAAAGAGCTATCATTTTCACAGTTTACTTTCTAAGTGAGATGTCCTAATTAGCTGCATTGCATAAGAAAATTTCAATATGCTGTCAGACCATTTATTTCTGATTATCATCCATATAATCATTTGACAAAGACACTGTTTTTTGTTAAATTACATTGAGAAAAATAATATGGAAGGCTTAGGAGGAAAGCACAGAAAGAAGCGGTTTGTGGCAAAGGTTACTTTTAGCTGAGGCAGGCTATTGAATTACTCAGGCTCTTCCTGCAATTTACCAGGCAGGGTAAAAAAAACCACAAAGTTCCTTTAGGAGGGACATTAGAGAAGCTGAAATATAAATTATTACCAGGACTATTTCCTTATCCAGCACTAAGTACTCCTAGAGAACAAGGAGTGTCTGGAGGCATGGGGTCTACATGCACATCCACAGCCTGTGAATTACCTCTACAGTCTGTCAAGCCCAGCTGTTGTGCTTTTTTTCCATATCCTAGAACTACCTGTGCTGTCACTCACGCTATTTCTCTCGTATTTTAAAAAACACTGTACAAGGAGGATTAGAGTGCTTTTGCCTCCTGAGTTATTTTAGAACCCAGACAAGCAGGATTACATCATATGGGACTCATATTTAAAGGGGAAGGTGACTGCACTGTGGGTATGTCTACTGACAGGGTATCTCAAAGAACG